ACAAATTGGTTTAGAATAAAAATGAAGAGATGTAAAGTAAAATGAAAGAGAAGAGTAAAATTCAGTGGAGGAAAAAATGTTGCTTTAAAAATTGTAAAAGTACAGAAAGAAAAGAAGGGAAGGTAATAAACCAAACCGTAATTAAATTTCATCGATTCGCCACCAACATTAAAGAATCTAAAAGTTTTATACCTAATATTACCATTGATGAAATTCAGAAGTACCAACATAAACGAGTTTGTTCGAAACACTTTGTTACGAATAGCGGTAAGAGTAATTAATTACTGTGAACCTGCTTTGCCGTAACATTATTTACAAATAGAGTAATTAATCCTTTTATTTTTAGAATTGGTTAGCAAGACGCAGATAGTAAGAGAGAATGAAATATTTTTTTTCCCAGAAGAAACTGAAAATATAATATATATTGACAATGACAATTGTGATGAAGACAATATTATAATAATAATAATACTCTCCCTAATTCACCCCCTTACGAGTGAATTTCAACCCCTGAAGTCGACTGAACGACTTGTGTAGGGGAAGGGACGGCTATTATTATTATTATTTGCCGTGGCGCTCCGGGGCGACTTAAGGATGATTGATGGTGCCATTTGACTTACAGGTGAGGAAAACCCGGAAAACCCGGAAAACCTCACCCACCATCATCGAGACGATAATGTATGGCCATTTTATAATCTGCATGTCATATCAACAGAAATTGAATTTCCATTAATACGGCACACATCAAATCCTAAACCGAACCATGCAATTTAATTAAAAATCCACATGGTCTGGTCTGGGATTCGAAGCCCAGCAGTCTCGGACTCATAAACTCGCCTATAAATGAATATAAGCGCGCTAGACCGCTACACCATCGACCCTAATTAAAGATACCACTGAATTGTACAAAAACAGAAATATCAAATATTGTAAATACAGTGAGGATAAGGACCATGAGCATGATTATTCCTTTAAACCAAATTTAAAAACAGTAAAAACATAACAAAATTGCTAAGCTTAAACTTGAAAATGAACAATTGAGAAAACACACACCTATGAAAAATATATTGACATTTTTTAACAGTAGTTATTTAAATTTTTATACAAATATTAATGATTTGAATTTGTATAAATTTTTTGTTAGTGAAATGATCGAACATGGAAAAAAATTTAAGGAAAATGTTGAAGGATCATGTATTTGGAGCAAATACAAATTGGATCCAAATGTCCAAATATTTTTAGTTTTAGTACGTCTAAGACTTGGACTATTAGAAGCAGATATGGCTTTTACGTTTGGTATAAATCAAAGTACAGTCTCAAGACTTTTTAGGTTATCAAAGTACAGTCTCAAGACTTTTTAGGTTTGGTATTAATGTCATGTATTCTTACATGATTCAGTTACCTATCTGGCCATCTAGTGATTTGGTTAAAAAATTTATGCCTGAATGCTTCAAAACAAAATACCCAAATACTAGGATTATTTTGGATGCCACTGAAATATTTATTCAAAAACCAAATAATTATGTAGTTCAGAGTTCAACTTACTCCAGTTATAAATCACATAATATGGCCAAGGGACTCATTGGTGTAACACCTAATGGATTTTTGTGTTTTATTTCTCACTTGTATCCAGGAAGAGTGTCTGATAAAGAAATTGTAATTAAAAGTGGCATATTAACCAAACTAAAAGCTGGAGACTTAGTAATGGCAGACAGGGGTTTTACCATTGAAAATGAGATAAGAAAATATGATTTGGACTTAAATATACCTCCATTTGCACGGGAAGGAATTGTTCAGTTTGGCACAGATGATGAACAAAAAACCAGGGATATAGCAAGTAATGTAGACACTGTTTAAAACTAATTTACCTAATCTGTTTGTAGTTTTATACACTAGCAGTCATTTTTTTAATGTATATAGCTGTTCTTTTTTTAACTTGTATTAAGCTATAAATTAAGACCAATTTCATTTTTCAGGTGTTCGGGTTCATATTGAAAGATTAATTGGGAGTGTAAAAGTTTACCGAATTTTGCATCAGACTGTCCCAAATAATATGGCTGTTCAGCTTAATGACTTTTGGACCGAATTAAAACAGGTCAACTGTCAAAGAAAGTGTAAAGTTTATTTTTGTAGATTAAGAATAAATTAAAATAAGCAATTTGTAATTAACATTCTCTTTTGTTTTGTTACACTATAGGTTAAATAAAACGTATTTAGTTTTTACTAATATTATTTAATATTCTTGTAATTAGGTCAATAGACCTGTTAGGATATATAATAAAATAAATAAATAAAGTACTTTTATTATTATAAATAAAACTGTTTATGCATTAATGTTTAAAGTACATTAATTAAATAAATTAAAAATTGAGAATTTTGATGCTACTTATAACTAAACTTCTTTACAAATGAATAAATATTTATTTGACAACATGCAGGAATAGTATAAAATAATATGAAGTTAGTTTTGGTAAGTAATTATGTACCCATAGTTCTCTATCAAAAAAAATCCTTTCGATAAAATAATCAGTTCCACTATCTACAAACAAATCACAGTAATTTAGTCCAGTTATTGTCAGTTGTCCTTGGATTTGTATATAATATGCATAATTTTTTTTAACATAAATACACCATTGTTATATATACTAAATATTGTGCTAATCCATTTTCAAAACATTCTTTAATACTGTAGTGTTCCAAGCTTCCTGTTACAATAGTTTTAATTTCTAAAAGATGGTAGCTGTTGGAATCTTTGTCAAATATGAGTCTATCTGGGAAACTGCAAAGAAAATGAACTCCTGGAGTCACACATTTCATCACTTCATAATTAGGTAACAAGTTCTTGTACTTTTTAGCAACATTTTCTTCATTTGAAAGTCCTAAGGCCATAAAAGAGGTTTGGATTGTTCTCTTGGGCCATATTCTTCTAATTAAATTTTCATTGATGGGTCTATTAACAATCTCAAAAAACTTTGATGATGATATCCTTTTAGCTCGCTTTGATCTCCATATATGTGATTCACTTTGACTTCTTGTTTCTTGCTCAAGTTTTATAGCACGTTCAAGAGATATGCTTACATCATTGATAAGATGCAAATTCCCTATTTTCTTGGATAAAAGGATGTCAACACATTCTCTAAGCCACTGAAAAGCACTTGCAGGAATTACTGAAATATATCTTTTATGTTTAATTTCTAAATTAGTTCTAGGAAGGAACTTGTTTTCTCTCAGAATCTCGCCAAAATGGATATTTTTGAAATTTTCGAAGATATTATATCAGACGACGAAGAAGTCATCAATATTATTGAAAGGTCGCGCCGCCCAAAAGTTTTTCGATTTAGACCAAATCACATGCGTCAGTGGGATGAACAGGAGTTTATCAATAGATTTAGAGTGTCCAAAGATTCTGTTCTAATAATTTTAGAACATATTGAACCTATAATTCGTTATAGAACAGAAAGGTAAGTTTAGTGATAAAAGTCTTAAATTAGTGTTCATGAACTTATTTTTACAGGAATCGGGCAGTAGATCCTTTAAGGCAGTTACTGTTAACTTTAAGATTTTATGCTTCGGGTTCGATAATATTGTATGTAGTCGATTTTATTGGTATCCACAAGTCAAAAGCATCCAGAATTATTAACAAAGTAACAAGAGTAATATGTTCATTGGCAGGTCAATACATAAAATTACCTACCACACGAGAAGAAATTTCTTCAACTCAGGTGCAATTTCACCGAATAGCTCGGTTTCCTAAAGTTATTGGAGCCATTGATTGCACCCATGTTCGGATTCAGTCTCCTGGTAACTACATTTATATTTAATTTAGTAACTAGGAAAGAAATAAGTAAATTTAGTTAACTTGGGACATTGCTTACTTTCTATTTTGACCTTTTAACAGTAAATAAGGTTAAAACAAAATCAGTATATGAATATTGTTATAATTTATGTGATAGATTGGTTAAGTATCTTGTTTTAATTAAAATCATTTTGTTATTTAAAATGGAAAACTTTTCAATATAGTTATTTAGTATTTTATTAAATATATTGATGTTAATTTTAGGAGGAAATGATGCTGAAAGATTCCGAAATAGAAAAGGTTATTTTTCTATTAACGTTCAGACTGTAGCAGATGCAAACTTAAAAATAAAACATATCGTTTGCAGATGGCCTGGTTCTGCACATGATCAGCTGATTTTTAATAATAGCCGTCTTCGAATGCTAATGGAATTACATTATAAAGGATATGGCTTATTAGGAGATTCGGGTTACAATGTGGAGACTTTTTTAATGGCTCCCTTAAATAATCCAGTTACAAGAGCTGAGAACTTGTATAATGAGTCGCAGATAAGAACCAGAAATGTTGTAGAACGTTCATAAGGAGTATGGAAAAAGAGGTTTCCTTGTTTGTCAAAAGGATTAGCAGTGAAAGTTGAAAGAATTCTACACATAATTGTTGCAACGGCAATCTTGCATAATATTGCAATCAGTCAGAATGATCCTGTACCTGATGAAGAAGAAATTAATTTAGATATTCATAATGATAATGAAGTCATAATTAATGGCAATGAAAATGGCAATGATAATGGCAATAATGTTAGAACAGATTTAATAAACAACTATTTTGGCATTTTTTAATAAATTATATTTTAATAAACTTTTTATTGAGTAAAAAAATAAAATGCTTTTTAAACCCAAATACTACTACTTTATTAAATACATTTTCAATTTAATAATTGCTTTTTCAAAAGTTCATTTTGTAAACGGAGTTGTTCAGTACGCAAATCATGCTCTGTTTCATTTTGTTTTATTTTTTGTAAATGTTTCTCTTTCTTAAACTGCATTTCTTCACGCAGAGCTTCTGCTTGAATATTTACTAATTCTAATTTAGCCTGAGAGAGAACATTTATTTTCAACCTGCAGTCTTGCGTAAGCTGGTTTTTTTCTAATTATTTTTGTTTGACACTCTAAAAAAAAGAATATGAAATGAAAAGTACACTATCTAACAGGGTCCGAAAAATAAAGAAAATGAACATAATAGGTATTAACTTGGTAATGTATGTGTTTTTTTAGGACAGGAAATTGAAAATTCTTTTTTTTTTTCTTCAACCTCCACTTCTTCAACTTCCACTTATTCAGTATTTCTTTCTTCCTCAGTCTCTTCCATTACTTCAATGGTCGGTTGCTTTCTAACTGACAATGGAGTAGAAATTGGGGTTTTTAACAATTTTGGAGACCAATGTGCCCAATTTGTCTCTTCAGCTTTTGAAGTTGATGGTACATTCATATTTTCAAATTCGAATGTATCACCATCAAATTCATTCACCATGCCGTGAACATTTATTCCCAAGAGTTCTTTTACCTTTTCGTCAATATTGGTAATATTAACAGGTTCTGGAATGCCCCCACCTGTTATGTAAATATTTTGCTTTTCGACGGAAAACTTCTTTTTAGCATTTTTTTTTATATTTTCGTATTTTCCCTTTATATTTTTTGAGGGTTCTAAATGAGTGTCCACTTGTGGCATTGAACTCCTCAGTAAGTTTAACCCAAGCAGCATTCTTCTCCTTCCACATAACGGCATCCGTCTGTTTATTTTCAATTATACCCTTGTATTTGTCGACCAAGAGCATTAAAACATCTACTTCGGCATCTTTAAATTTCCTATATTTTTCTTGTGAAGCTGTCATACCTACCTAATAAAATTTTATTTTAAACTTAACCTTCAGTTATTTTACTTTAATAATTACCTTTTATTTTCGGTAGTAGTTCCAAATATTTAAATAATAATAATAAAAAACTAACAATAAAAAACCAATAATAATACACTAATAACTACTGTGACTAATAACTAAAAATTAATATAACACTCAACAAACAAATCCAAAATTAAACAAATCAAAAATCAAACAAATAAGCATAAGAACATAGATCAAAATGGCAGATTAATTTTTAAAATTTAAAAGTGTCAAACATCAAAAATCAACATAAACCCCGTCCTTCTTTGTTTAATGCTGTTGTTTTCTTTCTTTCATGAATACTATGAAGTTGCAGTTCTCAAAACAGTATAGCCAACATGGCAAATATTGAGATTATTTTAACCTTGGATTGTTAGATGCTTGTACACCGAAACTTCAGATATCTTCAGTTAAAACTTCAGTTTGTGGTTCAAAAAAATCTTCAGATTTACGGCACATTGTACACCCCACCCTAAGGGTGACAAAAAAATCTTGAAGAACATAAAAATGGAAGATTCTGTGCAACCAACAATTGCTAATTTTGAAGGTATGTTTTACAAATATGTTTATGGCTTTATAACTTATATAAATTATTTTCAGAAGGAGGAAAGAAACAGAAAAATTACAGAATCACTTGTTTATTTTATTTGCAAAGATAATATGCCGTTAAATATAGTTGAAGGTACTGGTTTTAAAAAAATGATGAAGGAAATAAAATAAGCCCACTATATAAAATTCCATGCAGAAATACAATTAAAAAAAGAATAATTGATAAATATGATGCCACTTCGCATAAGAAAAGCTGAGTAAAATAAATAGTTTAGTCATTACTTCTGACATATGGACAGAAACACTTCAAATAAAAAGTTTTTTGGGGGTTACTGTCCATTTTTTAGAAGGTACAAAAATGGTGGCAAGTTGTTTAGACGTAATAGATTATACATACCGGGGATTATATTAGCAGTAACTTGAAGAATGTCTTGCAAGCATGGAATATTAGTTTAGAATCTATTCAAGCAGTTGTGACTGACAATGGAGCAAATATGTTGAAGGCAGTGACTAAATTGTTTGGGATGAATAAACATTTGAGTTGTTTTGCTCACACCATTAATCTTACTGTAAAAAATGCCATTAAACATTCTGGCGTTGAAGAACTATTTACAAAAATCCGTTCTATAGTAAAATTTTTTAAAGCTAGTACAAATGTTTCAGATTTACTTATAAAAGAACAACTTAAACAAAGCATTCCGGAAGGAAAATTAAAAAAATTAACGTTTTTTGGAGTTAATATCTTTTGTAGGTAACATATTACTAATTAGGCCAAATTCTCCTCCTATGTTATCTGCAAATGAGGTTGAACTTCTAAGGGAGTTAATGGAAAAGTTAACAGTTGAAGTATCAGGAGATCAGGATGTCACAGTCAGTATGGCAATACCTCTTATAAATTGTGTAACAAAAAATTTTTCCATGGTAAATGCAAAACTTCCATTGGCAATTTCTTTAAAAGCTGAATTGCTTAAAGAAATTGAAAAGCGCTTTGGCATACGGGAGCAAGTTATTATTTTGGCAATTGGAACAATTTTAGATCCTAGATTTAAAAAAAAACAAATTTAATATTCCACTCGCTTCCTCTAGAATACTTCAAATAATTAATAATTTTAATATTGAACAAATGCAAAATGAAACAGAAAACCACACAGATTCTGAAGAATTGGTTGATATATCTTTAAGTGAAAGTAGTGAATTTGATCTTTGGGGGTTTCACAGGTCTTTAACAGAAAAGCAAAATTTAAAGTTGAAAGAAAAAAATACAAATACAGATTCATTAAATCCAGAAATTAAATTATACTTATCGTCACCTCTTTAAAATTTGAAGGATAATCCATTAGATATAGCCCTCTTTTCTTTCCTTGTTTAGTATTAATTAGGAAGAAGTTATTAAAGTATTAGCTAGCTGTGTTGGTTATGATGAAAGTAATTTATGCCAACAAACCTCAGGGGTTGGTTCTGTTGTTTTGGTTAATGTCGAGCTAATCTACGTTTAGTTTGGGCACCACCTTATTTAGTTTTAAACGGAAACCATATAAGGAAATAACCAACTTAAACAAAGTAGATACGATACGATAATTAAACTGCTAGATTTAGAGATTTCAGAGTAAAGAAATTAAAACAGGAAATTCAATATATCAGTTTATTATGCAAAGATTACAATAGGCTGAAGGCCAAGCAAATAAATAGTGAAAGTTTACAATATAGCTGAAAGCTAAAACAAATAGTGAAAAATTACAATAGGCTGAAGGCCAATGTCAAATAAAAATTACAATTTCAGCATTAATAATCCAAGATTAATAATATAATTTAATTGGCTGATGGCCAGTAATGATAGATGAAGAGAAATTAGTGAAAATTGTTAGAAAAAAAAATATATGTCTTTAAATAGCCTTTACAACTTAAAATGGTGGCATATGTTACCCGACTGGTCTTGGTCTTCTGAAATCCTGGACTTAGATAGACGCTCTGGAATATAACTGGTAGTGTGGAAGAGACGATCTGGAATCTAACTGGTAGTGTGGAAGAGAAGTTCGTCACCGTTAATAATTTGCCTGTGAACCTCCTAAGCAGCTGGTAGTGATGGTGGAATAGTAGTAACCACCAAGGATTCGTTCAACACGGAACGTTTTCAGAACTGAGAACAGCTTCAGACTACTTCTTATGGTCAACGAAACTTCTTCACGATCAAGGTACTCATATCTTCCAATAGAACTATCCTTCAGAGTACAGAAGGTCTAGAAATTCTTCTACTTCTTTTCGGTGTGCTCGGGTACGTCGTTAACATAAACAAAGAACAAATGTCTAAGCCACCAGAAATAACAATTAAATATAAAGGGAGTCACAGAAAAAAAAAGGCCTTTCTTTTACCTACCCTAGGCTATTTAAATTAAAGACTAAAGTTTAAATAAAAATGCTCGAGAGTGCATAAGGTACTCTACGAGGCGAAGTGAAAAGTTATTATTAAACTAAAGAAATAAATTGAGTAAATGTTACTCTGTAGCCAAAATGCTACCTGAAATTGATTCAAATTTAAGATTAATTCTAAAATTAATATGGTGACCTTCTAGGTTCACACAGCAAATAAAAGTAACTAATCAATTTGACAAATCTAGTTGAAAACTATTAATCATATCAATGAATTTCAAAATTAAATTTAGTAGAACGATAAATATTGCTAATGAATTTCAAAATTAAATTAAATTTAGTAAAACGATAAATATTGCTAATGAATTTCAATATTGAATTAAATGTAGTGAAACGATAATCTTGCTAATGGATTTCAATAAAAATTAAATTTAGTAAACGGTAATCTTGCTAATAAATTTCAATAAAAATTAAACTTAGTAAAATGGCAATCTTGCTACTGAATTTCAATGGAAAAAGAAATTTAGTAAAATGGTAATCTTCCAAATCATATCTTGCCAACGAATTCCAAAATTAAATTAAATAAACCACAAAATTAAGTAATAATATTAAATATTACATTTGACATGGCAAAAATATATATAATATACTCTCTTATAAGTAACGATAAATTTGCGAAAAAGCTTATTGAAAAAAAAAAAACCTTTAAGGTTATTAAAGAAAGAAATAAAAAAAACTCCAATTGATTCATGGAAATTTGTAGGTTGATATGCTGATAAATTATGCGACCTTCATACCAAAGTGGCCAAAATACTCTTAGCAGCAGGTATTATTTAGAAAGGTTATTTGTTGGCTATATTATTTAATTACTTACATAAAAAACAAAATGAAAGATTTTAAGAGGTAAAATAGTCAAGATGAGTGCAACCTGAACTGGATTTAGGAAAGAATTTCCAAATCAGTTCCAAAATATTACTATCAAAAGATTATAAAAAAATTGATTGCACTTACCTTAAACTATTCTGGAGTGTTAATACGTTTGGAAATACTTGAACTGGAGATATCGGCTGGTAACAGAAGAATTCAATAACCTCGTGTGATCAGTACGAAGTGTAGGACTGTAAGACTTTTCTGCTGTCTGCCTTCTTCTTTAGTGACTGTCGAAAGTTTCCTAATAAACAAAATAACCATACAAATACCTGTTGCTAGTTAAAGTAAAATAATTTCCATTGTAAACTAAACCTTCCGTAAAAGTTTCCCAAAATAATAATTATTACCATAATTCGGTTCAAATTCATTTAAAAACTAAAGCAAAAAAATTGAAGGTTAGGTTTTTTGTTTTTTTTTTAATGGAAAATACTTAACTCAAAAATGTATGTTTAAGAAAGCCACACCTTACCAACATATCAGATCTCAAACCTTGATTCCATTCCCTAATTTTAAAAATAATTCAAATATTTTATGCTTCGACCACATGGTTTTTAAAATTTAAATTTAAACGTTAAAAAATTTTTGAGACTTGATCCTCTTTCATCAAAAGTTCGAAAGCAAGAGAGCTAGTCCCTGCTTTTCATCGCTAACGAACCGTCAACCGTTTTTTTTTTTGTATGTTCTGTTCACAATTCTCGTGCCGAATCCCTCGGTCACTCACCTGTACGCGGTGTCACTTAGAACAATTATTTACGTTCTATGTATTTTGGACAATCGAACAGTACTTAATACATTCTTAAGAATGTTAGATACAAGGGAGGGTCAAAAAGATTTCCGAATTAATTTATATTATATTTTAATACGAAACAAAAATAACGAATTACAAAGTATTCGTTACAAGTTGAAGCATATTTACCCGTCACTTTATGTTTTGGCACGAAAGTATCTTTCAATTGTATGTACATCTGTACCATCAGAAAGATTGTTTTCCCGAGCAAGAGTTACGATTACTTTAGAAAGAAATCGCATCTTAGGAAAATTGTTGTTCAAGTTACTTTTTTTAGGTAGCCTGCCTGACGAATTTTGGTAATTTTTTTTAGTTTGTTTATTTTAAACCTGTAAGATTATATTTTATTCTAAATCGATTTAAATCGGCGTTTTTTT